CATATTTCACGATCTATTATTTATTTATTAAAACATCTATTTATTTTGCCAAATATGCCAGATTTTATTCCATCCACCTACTGTATTGGTTGATCATTTTTGTCAGGATATGGCCTCAAGTGTTACGGATGTTTCGATACCCACAGTTGGGATAGATGTAAGAAAACACAGAGAGTGCAGAAATGTCAACCCTATCAGGACGCATGCGCCAAACTTCATGCGAAGAAGAGGTTTGATTTATATCTAAAAGGCTGTGTTCCCAGGGGGAAATGCAACGGCACATCTTCGTTATGCCACGAACAGAGATTCACTGAGTGCCAGATCACCTGCTGCACCACTGATTTATGCAATTGAGCCCAAGAACCAATGATTGGCGTGCCTTCGTTTAGTCTTCGAAAGCTGTTGATGAATGAACACTAAATAAAATGTATTATGAGTTACGAGTGTTTTGTTTTTTATTCTTTCTTTGCTCGCACTGTTCAGACATTGTAGAGGGTCCAGCATAGGTTTGGCGGAATGCGGGATGAGGCTTAAAATCGAGGCTGGATGTGAGATACGAGGAATTTTAAAGACGAGAACCAAGGTATGCTCCGTTTTGGAGGCGGGATAGGGGAGAGGGCGGATTCACGCGGAATTATGATTTGGCTCAAGTTACGACTCACACGACCTCGGAGACATTAGAAAGTATTTATTTGCTTTAGAAACGGGCTTAATTAATGCTCCCGTGTAAATTGGGGTTAACAGACTCAAATGACTTTTTAGTACATCCAGTTTTCTTTGTATTAGTTACAAGTGTACACACGACTCCACAGTATGCCCAGTTTTCTCTCCTTCATTATAATTTTGCTCTCACGAGGACGTCTGCGTGAACGCCCCTTTCTGTAGGATGTTATCGGCGGTTCTTGGAATATCTCTCTTAGCAATGATTAATGTACTCACTATAGTTTTCCATCAGTTAGCGGTAAACTAGAGTAATTTGAGTTTGACCAGGCGGAATCGGGATGAAAATGTTTATTGCAGGGAGATGGCGGGATGTAATGGAAAATAGCGGCGGAAAAGTTTATTTTGGACCCTCGTTATAACTTTGGGATATTCTATGGGAAAACCATTAGGCAGCAAAATTTGGTGTAATGAGTGTTACTAATCATTACTTTCTTAATAGTATTTATTTGACAATAAATGACCTGCTAATAAGGCACCTTACTTGTCGTCTTGATATTTCATGCGAGGGAGTGACAAGGAGAAAGAAAGGTTATGTCAACAAGATGGCGGCGGTAGTTGTGCTCTGTCCTCCGCTTTAAGTCGAATTATAGTCACCTACCAACCCACAAACTTGCCTTTGATCGGCGTTTGAGCGATGACTCCCACATCTTCACACATGCACTGTCTCTCTGGAAACTTTCCTTGATCTATTTTCTTAAATTTAGAAACTGATGACCAAGTTATTGATTAACACGTTTAAATCTGGTAGAGCTGGATATGAAAACATCTTTATTTCCATTGTTAAACAATGCATTTACTACATATCTGCACCACTTCCACTGCAAGGTGCTGTTCCAAATGAAATGAAAATTCCTCGTGTGAATTGTTTCTATTTTGAAACCTAGAGACCAAACTCTATTCACTAACAATAAACCTGTCTCGGTTCTTACTTGGTTCTTCAAAAATTTATAATTCTTAGAAAGGGTTTTAGACAATCGTACTATTCAGTCATATCTGAATAAATTCAGTGTTCTCTATAATGACCAGTACGGATTGAGGTGAAACCAATCAACTTCCCAACCCTTGCTGATTTGTGCGACAAAATTTTTCCGACCCTGACCGCAAGGAATATGCAGTTGGGAGTATTCGTAGACTTGTCAAAAGTATTTGATACTGAAAACCATAGCATTCTATTTACGTCTCTGTGGGATCCGAGGCTTGGCGTTTGAATGGGTTGGAGCTACTTTCCTCAGAGACCCATTCCCAGGGTAATACACTGTAGTGTCCCTCAACGCTTTGCTGTTGACCTTCTGTTCCTCATCATCTACGTTAATACCTTTGTGACGCATATTGACTGAAATCTATTTTATTTGCTGCCGATACTAATTTTTTTCCTAACAAGGACCCACTCTTATTGAGCAATAATGAATTCCATAATCATGATTTAATATTCTTTCAGACTGGTTTGCTTCAAATAAATTGTCCTTAAACATATCCAAAACTAAATTTATAGTGTTCAGACCTCGAAACAACCTACTTTGGTTTTATGGTCTCTATTAGCTAGGAAAGCGGTGAAGCTCCTCTCAGAGGCATGCACTCTTTCTTGGTGTGTAACTGGATAATTGTCTTCCTGAAGGTCTTATCCATCGTTAGTCGGGCATATGAGAGGGAAAAATCGACGGGTTTTATGACTCTGATGATGACCAACACAAAGGTAATTGAAACGTCAGTAACTAATGCCGACGACAGTCGTTCCCAGGACTACCCTCACCCGGACGATCAAACGACACGATCCCCCTGTAACCTAACATGCATTCGTCATTTAGCAACCAGAAACGACAAATAATGTTGGGCATATAATAGGTCACAATCAAGCAGATTTTACATAAGCTTAATGTTACACACATTTTGATTGATACTTGCTTATGATCTGATGGAGGTCAGACGCTCAAATGACAACTGCTAACAACCATTTGCTTTTTATCATATGAAGCAGGTTCCGTGTTACCGTGCGTCTATCCACAGGGGTTTCAGAACAAGCAGCCAGAGTTCCTCCAGCTACTTGATAACATGTAGCCGGTTACTCCGGTCAAATTAATTACCTGTTGGCCTTTAAGTTAATGAACTTTTCAGTCACCAACTTTTGCTAACTACTTCCTACTTCAAAACATTTTGAGACCCCTGTGTTCAAAATTAAATCACAGAGGACGTCAAAATGTTTGACTACGAACAGTCACTCCTTTTCCGCGGGGAGCTCGCATCAATTTTGTTTTCGCTGATTTTTCCGACTCCAGAAGGTTGGTAAAAACAAAAAAGTGAACACAGCGCGGCCGACCCTAAGCCCTGAGAATTTGGTTTCACATCAATCAAACATCGTAAGAGCTGGCATTTTTCTAACTTATCATCATCCTTCTCCTTCGACTGAAATGATTATTCAGGGGAAACAGCATTTGCGTCACCTGGCTATTATTTCATTTGAACAGGCAACCAAATCATTTCCCCAAACCTTTCGTCTTTTTGTTCCCACCATCATACCAGGGTAGTAAATACTTTCCGCTAAAGAAGTCACTAACTGAAACAGTTTAGTTTTTTATTAAGAAGTAATAAAATATCTACAATGGCGTTGTCATAATAAATAATACAATTAAAAAAAAGCTAAATACTTTCATATATTCTGTCCAGTATTGGAATCAGCCAAGATCACATCTTCAAAACATTTGATGACACCACATTTTGGGATACATCAACCCAAATCTAATTTTCCTTTGATTTTTAAGTAAGTAAATTAAAAATAGGTATGCATTTCCATTAGCATAAACAATTTACAAATTGCTAAGTGAAAGTACAATTTACAACATGTCTGCTTATTCCTGGTAAAAAAAAATATCTTATTGTTAAAGGGCATGTTCACAGATTTTCCAGCAAAATATACAAGTATACATTTTTTCCAAAGGTGCCTGTCTTTATGTATCTCCTGTCATGATGGCCAGAAATTCTTCCTCATTTACTGCAGAAACAAAAGTGAAAGTCAAATTAAATATAGCTTTATTTTGTACATGTTAATCATGGGGGAGATAGTCTTTACGCAAATGAGTATTGAAATGGGTTATTTTTTGGTCTGTCATAAGCAGAGAGACTTTTAATTTTTAAAAGCTAGCAAGTTTAAAATCTGTGGCTAAGACTGTGAAAACACCCTGTAAATATCTTTGAGATTGACAAAATTTTACAAGTTTACAATATGGATGAGGAAGACTGATATTCATTAGAGAATTTCACTGTTTCTACAGATCTGTAACCTTCTGATTGATGCAGAAACCAAAACAGGGGTCAGTGAAAGCTAGTGGGCCAAATACCCCTACGATCTTGGCTCTTGGTTATCTTGCTACAACCTGATACTGATATTCCTCATTAATGCCACCAGACTATTAAGTAAGAGTTAAAATATTTCCTCTTTAATTCAAATCAGATCTGATCTAGAAAATGTTCCTCAGAGAAAGAAAAAATTTGAAATTAGCTCTTGCCCCATGAAAAATCATCATTTCTCTGACTGAAACTCAGAAGTGCATCTCAATGGAAAATCATTTCAAAATGGGTACACTTAACAATAACTTGAAAAGAACCCCATTTACAGTATAGTAGTTTGTTTGAGTAAACAAACACACAAGAAGGAAAACAAATAAGAGAGGAAGCAGGAAGGTTGTAGTTGGAGAGAAATTACACACATTGCAAATCAAATAAAAACATTAGGGCGGATTCCAACAAAGAAAAAAAAAATACAATGACATGTACTTGTGCAATTGAATTAAGCCACATAATTTTTTGGTACACATGATTACACAAGGCTTAACACTTCCACTTCCAATATCTCAGTAGTATTTATTGTCTGCTATACAATTCTTACCATGTCAATACAGATGATTTGTTATTGGATCAACTAATAAACCCCTAATCCATATCTTTGTTTCTAAATTCTCAATTGATGTCTGCTTGATATTGTATTGATTTTGCAGGGAGAAATTCTGTCTTGGTGTGTCACTGGAGGATGTGTCAAGGATTGATACATATTGGAAGATGTAATGCTCTTGACAAGTTCTATATGGTCAACTAGAATATAAGTTATAAATAAGGGGCAAATATAATTATAGACAAATTTAAAGTCACTCACTTTCTCCATCTCCATCTTTATCGAACTCATCAATCATAGCTCTAAGCTCCTCATCTGTCATATTCTCTCCCAGTTCTCTTGCTACTCGCCTCAGATTCCTGAGACTAATTTTGCCACTGTCATCATCATCAAATAATCTGAATGCCTTGAACACTTCTTCCTGTGGATCCCTATCCAGCATCCAATCTGTCACTAAAATTAGGAGAAGAAACAATTGATATTCCCTGTATTTTGTTGTTGAGTGATAGTTCTCAGTAGCTTACACTTTTCACATTTTACAAAGCCTTTCCTAATACCAAGGTCACTTTCAACAAAATTACCAAATTACACTACTAAAAATGATCAATGAATCCAAACAACTTTGCTTGAAATTTTTGATAGGTATCTGCTAACTCTCTTGACAGAGACAAAATGCTGCATCATACCAGCTGTACACTATTTTCACAAATATATAATAATTCTTATTGTATAACCATTGTTAGTATTACACTCATTATTACTATTATCATCATTACCATTCTGTTTTCATACACTGCACATTGATTGTAATATGCACTTATTGACTGAGTGGGAGGGCTGACCAGAAGATATTTGACTCAAGGTCATAACCAAAAGCCAAATATTTTCCCATCCCTTCCAACCAAACTCAGACAATAAGCATTTTATCATATGACCACTATAAAGCATTGAAAATTCAGAAGAAATTGGTTTCAACCTAAATAGGATGTGATAGATGGGCACATGTGGGACAACTGCAAAGAGGTTCTATACTATAAACCTTTTGCATGTATGATTTTCATATATTCCCAGTCATCTAACAACTTTTCTTCATTTTTTTCCCTTTTTTTCCCAGAAGGAACCAGAAACTCACAATTCACTGAAAATGCACACATGGTGTTTTAACTCTTTTCTTTGTTCCTTTAAGTTTTTGCAATGAAGCTGTGCAAGTGCAAGAGCAGATCGCTTTTCTTTGACCAGCTCATGTAAACCTGTCCTGTCCTATGCATGTCAACTTTCACAATGGTTTTCTAGGAGATTGCTCACATGGGCCATATAAATCACATGATAAATTAACTATCAAAATGACTGTTACTTTTGGGTTTACTTACTGACTTCATTGAAGTCATCAAATGTAATTTTGCCTGAAGCTTCTCTGTCATAGTCCTTCATGATTTTCAGAACATCTGCTTTCTTCACATCAAATCCAAGAGCTCTCATTGCAACCTAAACAATAATCACAATAATCAATGAATCAGTCATTCATTAAAAAAATTAATTTGTGTGGTAGTAGTAAAGATTTCTCACTGTACGGAAAATCATTTGTAGTGTTATCCTTCCAGTGTGTTTTTGGCCATAACAAAACAAATTGACTTCTGCAACCACAAAATACCCTCCCAAAAAATATAAACAAGGTAATAATGAACTCTACTCAGTGATAATTTTTTTGAAGTTTGAACAGAGATATCCCAGACTTTGGACAATGCTATCTCTATGCAACCACAAAGTGTATTAAGTCTGTTTAGAACCAAAACCCGCGAGTTTATCATCCCAGTAAAAATTTCAAACAGACAAAAAATAAATAATGATATTAAGTAAACACCAAAAATCTACTTTCATGAAGGAAGGCTAAAATAAAGTAGACTATATCTAATTTCAGTTACACAAGGTTAGACCTAACAATAGATTGCATTTATGAGCATTATTTCTTTGTTAGTGCAATCTAGAACACACTAGTACTTCATAATAACAAAGAAAGCCAAATTTAGCCAGCAACATGTTTCAAGAGCACTTTAACAGTCAGGATTGAGTTTATACATCTTTCCTTGATTATCTAAAACATGGTTGATTTCATCTAAAATATGAAACTAAAATACTGACCTGAAACACCTGACACTACACCCCAGCCATTACCATCAAAAAAAAGGACTTCCTGTCTTTGTGAGGTCTAATAATGACACACTAATTATCTACGATTTCACGCTTTCAAAAGAAACAAAAGGGATTGACTGATTGAAAATGCCACTCGAGTAATCAAAAACATCAATTGAATTCTTTGACAGGCTGAATGCAATTAAACACTGAAGGTAATTACTGACTCAGTAATACGCATACATTTGTGGGATAGAATACACTAAAAATTGTGAACAACTACTCAGGCAAAAAAAAAAAATGATGGTAAATTACTCTTATGATGCACGACCATCGCAAATTTGAGGGATTGTACAGTTATCAAAACAATTCGAGCATTATAAGAATTAACATGTCGGGCAACGAATCTCTTTCTTTAAATATAACGAGACACGCAAGTTTCGTTCCCAAGAAAATAGATCTCCTGTACGAGAATCGAAAAGTAATTTCAAAATATGTGTTTGAATGTCAAATTGGCTCTCTCTGTCGAAATTTTCGCCTAAGAGGTACCCTTGTTAGAAAATGCAAGAAAATTTCGGAAATTGTTTGCCTAAATAATTTCGATGCGCTGTGTTTAATAAAGCACAGGAAATTGTGTGCTGATTTTGAGATGAAAGTGAACGGAGATTAGCTTACAATGCACGTAATGCACTTTAAAATATTTTGTACTTTAACCATCAAACACGTTAACATCGTTTCGACTGTACATTTAATTTGGCGAGAAATCAATCGTTTTCTTCCTAGTAGGCCTTAACGTTAAGGTTTAGCAGCTCAGACTATACTCGTCTTGGATGGTTTCACAACAACGGTTAACTTTTTGTCTTGTAACAATACTCAAAGAATAATTTCTAAAGCAAAGGTCAATTAGTGGAAAAGACATCGTCACACAATCATTACAGAACAAAAAAGTAATCAGTTTCCAATATCCAAGGCAAGCACTGCTCCTAATAAAACTTTGCCGATTTCAACAAATAACGATTGACAAGCTCAGAAAAACGTCAAGAGTTGGATACTAAAGATGATTTTATGTTTAAAGCTTAAGTTACCTTCAGTTCGTGATAATCTATAGCACGATCCTTATCCGTATCAAATAAATCAAACGCCTCTTTGATTTCTTGCTTTTGTTCTTCGCCCAGCTCCCGCCGCTTGCCTTTAGAGCCTCTTCCTTTGCTGAAATCAGGCGTCTTCAATGAAAGACTCATCGTCGCTTTCTGTTGAGCTTTTGATTAAATTGTAAAAAAATTTACGGTATTTTTTATTACGCTACCGTTCGTGGCGCTCGGCAGTAATCAAGCGCTGGTTGCTTTGGAAAATGACGCGCAAAATTCGATTGGCGGTTAGACATTGTGAACGCATGCGTATGTAAACATTATATCCCTGCAAAGAGTTATGGGTAGATCGGTCAATATGGCGGACGAACTAAGTTTTCATTAATAATTTTCAAGTGTTAATCAAACTGTCTTAATAAGATCATGGACCCGCCTAGCTTGCGATACATTGTTCAAGCAACGATCATAAAATACTTAGTTTGCAGTAGTGATATTTCACGGCAACAAATCGTAATGCTGGAGTATCTTCGAAATTTTGGGCAAGGCATTTTTGGAGACGAAATTCTTTCACAGGTCTTTGAAGATTTTCCTGGTGAACTCACCGATGAACTCTTATCTGTCTTGTCACCTCCGCATCTGAAGCAATTAAAACTGAGAGGCTGTAATCGTTTGTCGTGCAGCGGACTTCAAACAGCAATCGCTAAGTATGTGGATTTGAAGAAGTTAAACTCTTGATTATTCAGATTCATTTACCTAATTATCGAAAAATTAGCATCCAAGTGCAAACTGTGTTATACTCGTTTCCTTGCAGATGTCACCAGCTTCAAGCAATTGATTTCACTGAATGTATCCACCTCCTTCATCCAGTCGTGTTTTGCTGTATTAAAGAGAAAGCAACAAAATTGGTATCTCTATCTTTTGAAAATTCAGAACTTGTCTCTGATGACATTGTTCAGGTAAGTATGCATTCAAGGCACTAATAAGTTATCACACATATCAACGTATTTGAAATAAACATTACTTACATCACCGGCATTTCAGTTATAAACATGGGAAAATAGGACCCAAATTTTGCTGTTCACATGCAGGATGTCAATAAGTAATTTTTAATGAGCATATCTAAAATTACCCTGGACATGATAATTATTTCTGAGTAAGTATGCTACCTATAACACAGTGACAGCTTGAAATAAGATTGTGAGATTTCTTCCTGAAGCGATTGATTTCCACCAATCCCTTTGTAGTGTACTATGATTAACAGTTGAGCTAGGTGGGGTAAAAGTTTGGTAATAGGTTTTTGCATGGCCAACCTTTCTTGTGTCCAATGGTAACCAAATATCAAGAGCCGTGCATCACCAACCATCAATTGTGAAAGCCTACTGAAAACTGAGCCAGTTTTCTGCTTTAACAATATGATTTTAATGTCAAATCATGGTTGCCAAACTACTGTTATACCTCATTCAACTGAAAAATTGTACTGTGTGGGAACTCTGGTGGAGACTGAGTTTAATAAGTGTGCTTTTTATCTTAGACAATGTACAAAATTCAAATAAAATTAAAACTCACAATATTTAAATGTTATTGTATTGTTATATGTTACTCCTATCTTCCCATGCTGTCCACATATAATGTGCTGAACTTGTTTCCTTTTTAGGTGGCTTTGATGTGCTGCCCAGGCTTAAAACACCTCAACCTTTCCAGTTGTAAAAACATTACTGATGCTGCTTTTGCAATTCATAATTCTAAGAAAGAAGCAATGATCACAGATCCTACTCACCAAATGCCTCATGCAGGTTTTGGCCTTACCAATGTCGATATATCAGGCTGTCGCTCACTATCAACTGATACAGTGAAACACCTTGTCAGTTTGTGTGGATCTAGTTTAACAAGTATCAATCTTGCTTACACAGGAGTTAATTGCATGGCATTGCTGTACTTAGCCGGATTAAACATAGATAAAGTAGCAAGAATCATGCACAATGCAGTTGCCACTGATCTTGCTTCGACATCAAACCAAGAGACAGTACAGGAAATTCCCAATCACAATCAGTGGTGTAATGATGTCAGTGATTCTGTTAAAACACAGCCATCCCCAATGATGTCAAAAGATAATGATCTTTCACTTAATGAAAATTTGTTGAATGAGATGGAAGTTTTGACACTAAAGTTTGTTCTCCCTACATGTCATGTGGATGAACAGAATAAAGCACAAGATGGACAGAGCCATAAGGAGTTTGGGTCTGATACCTCTTTTGCAGTTTTTTCCAGTTTGTCCCCAGAAATCCCACCAAGTGACAAAGCTTCTGAACATGAAAATGCAAGGTTTGGAGATGAAGAGTGCAATGATGATAATGGTGAACGAAATTTCAAGGAGAGAGCTGGATATAGGACAATTTGCTGGAATGACATTCCCACTGAAGATGGATCCAAGGCAACTGTTGATAGTGAAAGCACTAGTTGTAACAGGATGCAGTTACTTTCAAAACAAGAAGAAATTACAACTACTTGTAAACTTGGGAGTGTGGGCAACAGGGAGCTTGGCTTGGAGAGATATGACTTAATGACTGTTGGAAAACAAACTACAGAACACTGTGGGTCAGAGGAAATTTTAGCTTGTGAAGATAATTTTGAACTAGGGAGCCATCCAGTACATGATGACACGACAACACGATGTGAAGAGGCTGGTGAGGAAAAGTCTACACCCAACTATCTTTCCTCACCTACCACAAGTGTGAATTGTGATATAACTTCTACAGAGTCAGCTTTAGAGGATGAAGATGCAGAAATTAAGGATTTTAGAATCCATGCTAGGAGTGGGGAAGGTGAGAAACTTGTTGACGTTCTTTTAGATGGTGTGGATAGTGATTACAGCTCTGCCGCATGTAAAATGTCATGTGCAGGGTGTAAATCTTCCACCCCTTCCAATATCCCTAAAAAAAATGGGATAGGCAAGGAGTCTAAGAATTGTTGGGAGGTTAAAGATGTGCTAATTGACAGTGAGGAAGAAGTTAACCCCAATCAGCATACAATTTATACTGGTGAAAAGGACAACAAAAGTACGCCCGACTGTTTACTGTCACCCAAAGGAGTTATTCGAATCAGTGATTTGTTAGTAACGCAGAGTTTTCAGCCACAAATTGCAACATTGGACATTACTGGCATGCATTATCCAAGCAAACAGCTAGGTAATGCATGCTTGAAAATTTTCTCTCATGCTAATGAAGGTTTGAAAAATTTTACAATATCATGGTTGGAACTGGAGGATGGAATGTTGAGATACATTCTTAGGCATCAACCTGACCTGGAATCTTTGTCTTTGGTATGTAAATGTAGAAATATCCATGAAATATTGTTATTATTTGTATGGGTTAGACATGAATGTATGCAACTTGTAGATATTAGTAAAATAACTAAGATACTTGGTAATGGCTCAGAAACCTCTACTTTATTGTTCAAGCAAACCCATAGCTTTTGATGAATTAGTAGCCTGCAGTGCAGGCTTCTTATTAGGGCAAGTTAATGTGAAGAAGCTTGCAAATGTTTATATGACCGGCCTTGTTTCATTAAAAATATTCACTGCCCCTGAACCCCTCTCTTCTCCTTTTTTTTGACTGTCGCTCACCACCTTGGTACAAATTTCTTTTTCTCCCCAAAATTTTGCTGCTGTAAAAATGAAAGATGAAAGCCATAATTTTCACCAACATAATACAGAGCATAAACACCTGCTAAAATTATGCTTGCTCTGCAGGTCAATGATTTAGCAATAGACTGAACTTTCAATCTGTGTGGGTGTGTAATTGCCTAAGTGGGGTGTTGATGGGAAACTTGAAAAAGTCTGTTTATTTTGTGGAACCTCTCCTTTGGGACATCTACATCTAGGGAACTCTTGCTCTGCTTGCAAGAGTGACCCCAGAATGGAAGTTCCACTGTAGTTTGCCTTTGCCTTATGATTTACAAACTTTTCTTGTGGTCTGTATAACGTCTTGACAATTTAGATATGTAAAATGTTATCATCATATTTCAGATGATCCAAAGAGAAACACAGGAGGGGAATTTGACTCAATCATACCTTCAGAGTATCCAAAAATTAGACTTACACAAAGTTAGATGATTTGTTTTTCCTTTCACTCTTTCCAGGTTGATTGTGAAAAGCTCAGCAACCTTTCCCTGATCTCCATCCCTGTGCACTGTCCAACACTCAGCAGCTTTGAGCTGAAGGGTATGTGTTATGTCACTGACCATGGACTGGTGCCTCTCACAAGGAGCAAGCATCTACAATCCTTGTCCTTGGCTGAGGCTGCTATCACTGACTTTACACTTGAGAGCATAGCAAAGGGCTGTGGGGAAAAGGTGAAATACATTGTATAAGACTGAAGGGAGCAGGAAAGATATTGATTTAGAAAGAGCTTTGTATGGAACAAGCATAGTAGCTCTATGAGAAATGTGGGGAGTGGGGTGAAGCAAAGAAACAATTAAGGTGATTTTATTACTTTAAAGGGAGTTGGATAAGTGATTGATTAGCCACCATTGCAACTTGTGTCGTTATTTGATAGCATACACTTCTGAGGCATATTTGTTTTGTTTCCGTGTTTACACGGTTGAGGGTTGAAGGTAGCCCAGAGAAAGTGCTCGAATGACGGGAAGTATTCGGACATATTTTGTCTACATAGACGTGTAGTGTGATCTCTGCACAATCAGCCGGTGAGAAGATCCCCAGTTATGAGCGCTTCAGAGTGAGTGTTTCTTCGCGTGGGAATAAGTTTGAGGCTTTGAGCAATGCTGGTAGACCTCTCCCCGACTCTTCTCAAATTCTTCCGCGGGCGGAGAAACGCTCGTAGCCGTTATAGTGGGGGCCTGATCGCGGGCTGTTGTACGGTCGACTGCCTTTAATTTTAGGTTCAAGCCACCAGTCGTGAGACTAGCCCAGTTCTCAAGCACCTGTTAGACGTACAAGTTTTAGGCAGGTACTGAAATATGGATATGTTTTTTTCTTTTCTGTAGCTTAAAGTCTTGGACATATCCTGGTGCGAAGACGCCACGGATCAGGGAATATCAGCAGTGGCAAATTCTTGTCGCTCCCTTCAACGACTTGGTCTACGACAATGTGCAGCTTCTAAGCCCACCATCACTGCACTTGGAAAGAACTGCCATAATATTTCTTGCCTGAATATTGCAGGGATTGATAGCTTTACAGATGATGCACTCAGTAGCTTGGCTAAGAACATGCCGCTTCTTAGAGAAATAGATGCAAGCTGGAACTCTTGTTTATCGGACAACGGCATCAAAGCCCTGATGCAAAGCTGTGTAAAGCTCAAGAAAGCAGTTTTGAACGGTTTAAAGCTCATAACCTCCCATCCATTTTTGGGAATTGTAGGAGATTTAAATTGTTGGAGTCTATTACAAGAATTGTGGAGATACAACAAAAAATTCCAAAGTGTTCTCCCTCAAGGAAAAGTTTCTCTGAAGCCTTGTGATACGGTGAGTGATTCGCTGATTCCCAGTAAAACAACTCTCGAGAATTTTCGCTTCTCTTACCCATACCTTGGTGTCAAAATCTACAAATCTTTGACATATCTAATTGATATTTTGTTTTTCCACGGTTACATTTAGTTGATCTTGATATATTTTTTGTAGTTTTCCTTTCCTTACGTCACTGACGAATGAGCAACAACGAATGTGTCTGCTTTGAGGAAACAAATTTTCACGGTTAATCAGAAAAACCTGGAAAATCTCTCATTAAAAAAATAGCTCCTTAACTGGAACTCGCTCTTTTGTGGGAAATAAACGTGGTGAAGTGGGGAATTTTGAATTGGAAAGTCCGGATATTCAAATCTATAGGCTAAACTACGCGGTCTAGGCCCAATTTCTACCCGCTGTTCGGAAATTGAGCTTACTTTCTTGCTCGGAAGTTCCTGGTTCGGTAGTGAAAAAACGAGGGAGGCTTGGGTCGGGTCGCGTGTCACGCAATTCTAACCTCAGAACAGGGTAGAGTTTGTAGGGTAGCTTTGCGTGACATCTTAAAGAACTGCGGCGAAGCTGTGAAAAAGATTAAAGGATCAAGGACGGAACCCGAGAAACCGGCGGAAGTCAAGTATACAACTTGGTCTTGTCAACCTTGGCTTGCAACCAATGTTTTTTCTTTCTCTCGTTTGTAGGAAACAGCCAAGTCCCTTGGTGACCAAATGCCATGTCGCTCCATGTCCTTTGCGCCCTCGTTACGGCATATTGAACTTGAATACAGCGACAAAGTGAATGATGATCATTTGGCAGCAATCGTAGCAATCTGTAGAGGAACCTTGTACGTTAAAGATTATTATGGACAGTCAGTTGAGCCCAAATGGATATTTCGATAAAATTATAGCGTACAACACAAAAATGCTTTTTATTTCCTGATGTACTTGACGTAATGTCACCTTGAGCGGCTTAAAAATAAATTAATGCAAATACCAACTGCTGGTTCTTTGTTATGTTTCCAAACGGTTCTTCTATTTTACGTTGGATCGTCTCACCAGCTGTGAAAAATGTACTTCAGTTGGTTAAAAAGTGACAAGGAGTACTGTGCTTGAATTCATAAAGGCCTTCGGGGAGCTCGAAAAGGGAGAATTTCCTTGGACGGAAGATTGCCTGGAAAGTGTTCTGTTCGTCCAGAAACGGTTAAATAAAGTTCATATGAGGAAAAACCTGGGGGCAATCTTTCGAAGAATATTCCAGAAAATGTAAGCCAGAGATATTGTGCAGCGCTAAGAAACCGTACGCTATTTTGGTTCTCTCTTCCTTGCTTTAGAGAGACTTCGCATAACACCCCCACGCGGGTCCCGCTCTGGGCACGCTTCTCACTGAGAGAAGAGGCATTCTCCTTAGGGAACTAGCGGTCCATTGAAGAGTGTTGAATTGTTTGGCGAAATTAAACATTTGTTGTTTTGAAAATCTGAAAAGTAGAGATGTTTGTGATTTTGTCTTTCGCTACGTTTCGTCTTTCGAACTAAATAAACCTTTCCGTCGTCTTTCTGCGAATTCCTTTATCGGACGTTTCCATAACAACTCCTACTTTTCATCAACTAGTCACGCACGTCCAACCCCATTGTTCTGGATTTTCGACCGAAATACAAATCAAAACTCGTCGGACTTTGTCGGAAGAACCGAAAGCAACACTCTGGGTGTCCGCCGTCTTTCATTAACGTATCTAGGCGTAAACAAGTTTCCGCAAAAATTTGACACCAGGAGTTGATAGGGGTCTATGCCAGGGCAAATTTCATGGCGCGCTCGCGGGCTCATGATCGCTTCCTGCATTTCTACGAATTCTGTATGGAAAAGCTGCAGGGAAATCACTCTGATGATATTCGGACGTGGAGGATGGCAAGACAAGCAACGCGTCCCGAACACAGCTCAACAGATCCATCTGAAAGGTCACTGCTTGCAGAAACAACTCCCAAAATTGAGTATGCAGTATCACAGACTGCGAAGATCAACCGAGAGAAACCACGCGAGTCGAGGTCTTCTGCATGGCTATCCATAGTGAAATGTCTCTTCGGCGCCTTCCTGTTTGTTTCCGTTTTGATTTGCCTGGTCGCCAGTAAACTTTCTCTATTATCGATTGCACATTACCACGGAAACGCTTCATCTGGCATCGAAAGAGAAACTTTGTTCATCATGATTGTTGTGCTTCTGATCATACCGGAAGCTTACACGCTTTTGAAGGCTTCCTGGATAAGCCTGTTCTCCAAAACTCACAAGTGGCCATGCAGGAAAGCTGTTTTTATGGTAAGCTCATTACAAAAATTTCAGAAGCTAAATGTGTAAGGTTTAGTCCAAAATCGCGTGAGAATTACAAGTTTAACAGAATCAAATCGAAGTTGTTCTTCGGGAAGCATAGCGGAAATTTACGTCCGGTTGAGATCACATGACTTTTTCGATTAGCGATGATCGCGAATCAAACATTTTTGCACCTCCGTCGCAAAAAGTTGACGCATGTGAACATAATTTTCTTGAACTCAAATACTAGCGTAGTCAAAGTAATGTTCATCGAAATTGAAATTACGGCGTTCCTCGTAGCTTTGTTCGGCTGTTGTTACCCCTCTTGCCAAAATAATTGGTCTACTAGCACTCTTGGTGCCTATGATAGCGACAGGGTGTATATTAATCTAAAATCATTATTCCTCTCAAGAAAGTCATTCCCCCTCCTTAAAAGAAGTTGAAATGCCTTATTTCTTTTCAACCTAAACCCAACCTTGTTGCTCAGAAAAATACCACCACCGCAAATTATATGTGATGCAGTTACAATAATGGTGTATTTGCAATAGTAATATTGGCACTTGTACTTTTTATGATGTACTACTTTCAATTACTCTTATTAAAATAAAGTGCCGAACAATTCAATTACATTCTTGTACTTTGTACACTCTGGTCACTATTTAGATTTCCTTAAGGTTCAATTTTATTATGATTTTGGAGAGCAAATACTCTTGCTGTTTGTTCAAATATTAAGTGGGAACTGTCAAATCCACGAGCACTAATCAACTGGCCAATGTATGTTTGTTTTGGATTTAATTTCAGATAATTGATGATTCTCAAAGAAAATATTGCAACCAAAGATAGGGTTTCACATCTGTGTAGCAAGAAGGTCCATAATTTTGGCATTTTTGAGGTCAACAAGGCTATATTTATTTCATCAGTCCTACTAAATACACATTCTTACACTCAAATTTTAATAAAATGATTACCCTACACTACATTTATCATCTTTGATAGGGACTATCAGAATAAAAATGTGTAACTCGATCAGTGTCATGATATCCATCTTCCTACAGCTGTTAAGCTCTCAGATAATCTAAGAGGCAGAAGGTCATCATGTGATGGGGTGTGATCTTTGCTTGTGACTGTGTTCCTAATTTGCTTATATTTCCTGAAAAGGCATGTGAATACAACAAAAGCCAATGGCCAGAATGTGGCTATTAAAAAAACTGGTTAAACCTGGCATTATTAGCTTAAAGCTGAACCTTTTAAAGTTTTTCTGTTTTTGATTTAAGTTGTTAAGTTAGCTAAGTCTACCTTACATTAAAGATCTTTTATCTCTTAAAACATGCTTCTAATTATGCTCTTTGCTCGTCTACACAATCTCTTCTGTTTATTCTACTGGTCAACTGTACTACACTTCAGGATCATGCTCATACTCATGCTTCTCCTGGGTTATGGAACTCACTGCCATTACCGATCAAACCCTGCAGCAGCCTAGCTACCTTTAAGGAACTACACAAATCATTTCTATTTTAAGGAAAGTGTTCATTACTAGTTTATAATCCTTAATGTAATGTAAAGTGCTTTTGAATATGTACATAGTTTTTAGTACCAAGCAAATGTTTTATTTTTAATATAGTCATTATCATCAATATTATTCTCAAAGTTGCCTTCTGGAAAACAAAAATCATAACATGGTCACTAGAATTAAAATTTTAATTGTCAAAAAAAGAAACAAACTCTTTATGCAATACTATATACTTGACAGCCACCTTAACTACAACTTTAAATGCTATCTACTAAGTTCCAATAATAGTGCAGCTTTTCACAGTAGTGAAATAGTGCAGCTTCTTAAATTTACAGCTCTTGCTGTATATTTAGTAGCCAATTAATTGTTTTTTTTTACTGGCCACTTTGGAAGAAGAATTTTTAAAATTAGTGTGTAAAATGCTTTTACTGTAGATCTTAGATTAATAATCCCTCCCTCCACCCCATCCCCTATACCCCTGAGATTGCACTTAATTTGTTTATCCATTTTATGGCAGGGTTTGTTTTCTTCTTCACTGGAAGTTTTTGGCCTTTGCTTTTTTGCCATTGTTGTGCTGCTTGATCTAAAGATCCACCCTGGTCTGCGTATAGTTATGATGAATGGAGTGTTTGTTGTTCCGGTGCTGTGGCAAGTCTTCAGAAGCCGAGGGTGCCAAGCTCAAGGCTCTTGGAGACAATGTTTTATATTCATCCTTGCACTGACCCTAGAGTTTGCAGGAATTGGAATGCTTACATACAAGGCAAGTAGGAGAGTTAACAAAGGGGAAATTGCAATTTGCCGTTTTGTGGTTTTGGACAATTTTTTTTTTGGTACTTTGGTTGTTTTAATCTCACATTGTGGTATTGCAGTGTTCTCTGAATCTGTGGAATGCATTTTTTTTTAACATTTTGGACAATATTGAAAATTATCCTTCAAGTTGTCTACAATGAGTCTTAGTCTTTTCCAGTTTGAGATTGTTTTGGAAATCAAACCTGAAACAGGACCTAAAACAACTTTAAGCTTCTCTAATCTTTCTTAAGCAACATAATTTACCTGACTTAACTTTTATTCTATTACTTGTTATTTCCATATTATTTCCTCTAAATGAAACATACAGAGTAATGATTTTGGCATGACACTGAGTCTAAACTTGGAATTGATGTGTTTGGGTATTTGCCAATCTTTTTTGTGAAATTGCCATATTTGCTTAATTTTTGTTGCAGAATGGGGGGGTGTTCAGAACCCCCCAATTTCACCCTCATTAAGCCTAGCTCTCGGTAGTGATTAAACTTTAACTTCTCCCTGTAATATTCATATATTATCCAGGAAACAGGTAATGAGAATCATCAAACTTATTAGGTAGTGGTTAATATCATGACCTAACACCAAATTCTTGTAACTGAATAAATTCGAAAAAAAATGTGTAGCAGATGGAGAGGAGATTATTGACAATTAGATCTTAGAAGTTATAGACTGAGTTAATCAGGTGACTGGATCAAGCGTGCCCCGAATTAGATCTGAGTCTTATTTAAATTAAATGGGTTTGTGACAATTAAGAGATTGTATATGACAAAAGTGCTTTCAAGGAAGGGATTGATTCCTGGTGCCCATTTCTGTCAAATGTTTGTTTCATTATTGAATCAGATAAAGTGTCGGACAAGTACTCACTCTTACATAAAATGTTTATTGTAGGCAAATTGCTCTTGTAGATGCTAAGCACAAGGAAGTAGTTACAGTAAACAAAACATGAGCAAACTGCATTAATTTTATAAAGTTACTGTATATGGCAGTGATTCTGTCTACCCACCTTGAAATTAGACTTGAATTTGAAACATGCTGGGAAAAAATTGAAAAAGAAAACAGCAAAAAGTGAAAACCAGGGAAAGGGAAGGGAGTTATTTTATGTGCATAGGAGTACTAATAATTTACAGTTTAATTTTGTTGGATTGGCATCATTTTGTATGTCTATAGCCACGACAAATTTTGTGCACCTTTTTTATTCAGTAAACAAGGGGATCATGCAAAAGGGTTGTTGCACATAGTCAGTGAGTTGTGTGCGTGTGTTTTTTCAAATTTCTTTAAGTGAGTTCCCCAACTTATTCCGTGCAGGCATATACCTATTAGTTGAAAGATTGATTACAACTTGAAGTTGATAAAGAAATTATGCAGAGTAGATAAGCTGTGATAGCAAATTTTGAGAAGTTTCATAACAATCCCATCAGAGGATGGAAGGTACCTGCAGAGGGAGGCTATGGAAGTCTACTATATACTGAGTTAAAAGAACCAGGCTCCAACAGACCTTTTTACAGTTCTCAGCGCCATATTGGACATGCAGCCGCACACATGTGAGAACGAGGCTGGGGTTGACTCATGTTAAATCTCTGTGAGTACTTTTTGTGAAATTTGTAAGTGGGCAGTAAAATTGTTCGATTTTTAAGCAAAATGGATGGTCCCAGCTGAAATCTCGATAAAGCTACTTTTTCTCCCAAAAAGAATAGAAAGCAGTGTGCCGCTTTTGGTTGTTCAAATACATTTTATGGCCCCAATGGTTTGCCTACGAGCTCTCACTTCTTCAAGTTTATGCACAGAGGCATGTATTTTTGCTAAGTATTTATCATCCTATACTTATCTTATTCTCTGTGAATTATGGATGAGGGTAACTATTGTTGCAAAATTAGTACAAATTTTTTATAAGGTACCTGAATTGCTTTAAGTTCAATAGAGTTTTTTTTATTCCGGCAGTAAGTCAATAAGTTCAGTACAGCTCACCTGTTTACTAAATGGCTTGCCTAAAACACTCCTAGCAGAGAACTCTTGGAAAGTAATTGCTTTTAATAAAATAACCAAGATGCTGTATTTTCAGAGTTTTCACTTATTATGACAGATCCAGAAAACTGACACAAATTTGGTAGTAATTGTGATAAAAGCAGTTTTCAGTAGTTGTTGTTTTTGTTTTTTTATGATAGCATAGTAATCCACTATGGATGCCATACGGAACTCTCAAAAAATATTTTGTGTGCTTTATGTATTAATCAATTTAATGCTTCAAATTGAAAAAAAGAAAAAGTGAGTTTCACTAACTAAAAGAATTCTTGACACAAAGATGAATTATGACACTTAAATTTTATTATTCACAAAATTGTCCTCATAATAAAAAGTTTGATAGAAGTCTCGCAACCTAATAAATTACCACGAGTTGTGAAATGAAAATGGTTTTCAATGTATCACGAGCATAAGTTGTTCTGGGCCTGGTGGGTTTCGAAATATTATGACATCTGTTAGTTGCAGTTTCCCTCATGGGTTGATACCCTTGCAAAATGGCTTTTAGAATTCCTAGGAATAAAGGTGTGAATTTTCACGGTAAATTCGGACTGGGAATTCCTAGGAATTCCCAACCATAACAACTCTGGTTCTAAAAACCTAGAAATTCCTAGAAATTCCAAGTTTATAGCCAACTGGACTTGGAATTCCTAGGAATTCCAACTCAGAGAACCAATGACTTTCCCTGAAAAGCTGTAAATCTAAAAAATTCCTAGGAATTTCTGGGAATTTTTAGGAATGTTTAAGAATTACTGGGAATTTTAAGCAAAAATTTGAGGCTAATGATATAAAATGAATACTTTAAACTAAAAAAACCCAGCTAAAATTCAAGTATTCAATGAAATTTATTTAGAAGCTTAATTAAGGCTTACATGTAAAATATTTTTGATTAATTATTAACATCAATGTGTGGTAATATTGGAATGGAATTTGATTTATTTTTCTTTTCTTGAAAACTTCATACGGATAATCCTCAATTACAGCTATTCATATAAAATAGTCCTAATCAATCATTAAATTTGGTTTGACACAAATTGTGAATAAAATCTTTTGATTCTTTTCCATAAAATACAATATCTTAAATTATATTTGAAAACCAAGCACTCTTGGGAGTGAAGGGGTTAATTACAGACAAATAAAATTGATTTTTTGATTAAAATCTTGTTGTAACTGTAACAATAAATTAGAATGAAGTTATCCTAAACTGCAAACTTAGCTACTGTTTGTATTTTTTTTCCTGGGCTCACAATGAGTTGGCCTTGAATGAGGTTGTCTACAAGAAGCTTGACCATTTTGTATCTGGATTCCATGACATCTGAATTTGAAAAAAAAAATATATATTTAAATATGCATATTTAAAGCTCAGACCAGGCCTTGAAGATGGCTATGAGGAAAAGGGCATTCATTGGATTCTCAAATTGAGAAATCTCTGTTATGTTGAGTGACTTTTATATTGGAGTTAGTACATCTCTCTCATAGATTTTACTAAAAAAGGGCTGAACACATTATTTGGTTTTTACCAAGGAGGGCTTCTTTATGTAATAAGGTTTGTTTAATAACAGTTCCTATTATGAATCTTGAATGTTCCCAAACGTGACTAGAGGAATCTTGAAACCTTACTGATAGGTTTATTTCATTGTAAAGCATAAGCTTAAGAAACTGCGGCATGCAAGTGACCGATTCGATTCTCAGAATTATTCTAGTTTCAGTTGCGCCGAGCGTTATGTAAGCTTAATTCAACCCGCTACATCTATTCTTTTATAAGATTTTGATCACGTAACGAATATCGCAATTTTTACTCACCACAAACTTTCAAAATCGTAGCTTTACAGATGGCCACTCGACCCTTGTTTGTACCAGTCAATATGTCAACTGTTGTCCCTTCTTTTAACTCCACGGCGCCAACGACTTTCCTTTCTTTTACAACACTCACGCTGTTCTCGTTTTCCCATTGAACCACAATAAAAGTTATCTTTAGAAATGTTATATTAAGCAAAACAGTTGAGAAAAACGATCAATCGATGAAAAGTACATTCAAAGATGAGCGCCAAATGGAGTCTTCTTTGTTTCCGATCACGGGCATGATCACGTGGATCTTTTAGGACTTGTCATTGGCTAGCAAAGTGAATCCGCTGGCTTGCCGATTGCATTGTTGAGAGAAGCGCACAACTTTATTCTGACTTCTCCGACCGGTTCTCTGCTTCTAGACCATGGATACCTTGGTGATATAAATAATGATGTGAGCTCACTCTATGTAGAAATAA